TAGGGAGTAAGGGTTTAGGGACTTAGGGATTAGGGGTTTGGGGGCTCAAGGGATGTGGCACAACTGCTGCCCTCAGCCAGGCCTGACGCTTCGAGTGCCTGTGAGAGAGAGAGAGAGAGAGAGAGAGAGGGTTGTGGTACGTCCAGGTAGGTGAAGTTGTCCCCGCTGTTGCCCGAACTGCCTCCAAAGCCCCACAAACACTGGGGGGCCCTAAGGGCCGAGGGGACTCGCACTCCCCTCAAACCCGAAGGAAGAAGAAGAGAGAGGGTTCAGGGTTTAGGGCTTATGTTTTCGAGCTATCGCCTTCCGTCTCTATGCTCATCACGAGTAGGACCATAGCCATGCCAGCAACAGAAAAGCAGAGTGAAAGACATGGAGGCGGCTTCCACTCCTGATGGAGTCGGCGGCTAGATCGGTTAACGCGTAGTGGTCATTGACAAGTAGGTTTTTGCCCCTCCCTCCCTCTTTTCTGTCTCTCTCTCTCTCTCTCTCTCTCTCTCTCTCCCTCTCTCCTCCAGCTCTCTCTCTCTCTCTCTCTCTCTCTTTACCTCTCTCCCTCTCTTTCTCTGTGTATTGATAGCCAGTTCGGTCAGTTGGCGAGTGACAGTGATTCCCCATCAGTCGGGCCCTGAATCCTCGACGCTAAACCGAGCCCAAACCGCCTTGTGTCGCCTGAGTCCTGGCCTGGCACTCCCGAGTTGCGAGGGACAAATCACATTGTCGAATAGTACTCGAAAGGAATCAGTACTCGAAAAGAGTCGGCAATTCTTCAACGGTTGAAATCAGGGATGGGCCAAACACGTTTGGAGTTTCAACAGAAAAACATTTTTGGCGTTTAAACGGTTTACACGGGGGTCGAGGCTCGGCATGTTTAAACATGCGTAGACATTTGGGGTTCGCGTTTTTGCCACGAGAGCATTCAGGCGGTTTCAAACACCGTTTAAGCGTTTAAACCGTTTAAACGTAGCAAACGTCCTGCTTCTCATGCGTTTAGAAGTGCCGCTCCAAAGATTAAACCGCTTAAACGCCCCAAACGTCCCGCTTCTCATACCTTCAGAAGTGCTGTACGAATGTTTAAACCGTTTAAACGTTTAAGCTGTCTAAATGCGGAGTTTCCCGGCTGGTTGCGAGAGTCCTGGATGCAAAAGCTGTCTAAATGCCTCAAACGTCTTGCTTCTCATACCTTCAGAAGTGCTGCTCCAGGGTTTTGCAGTTTAAACGTTTAAACCGCTTACACTGAGTCGGTGCTTGGGGGTCTTACTAAGAGTTGGATCCTCGGAGCTTCAGTGTTTCAATCGCTTCAGTTTTACAGGCTTCGGGGTGGGCTTTTGCTCTAGGTAAAATGAGTGTATGGTACAGTTTAGAGTAGACATGTTTAAACATGTGTGTGTTTGTGAGTGTGAACATTTGTTTGTTCAATCCGTTTGGCATTTGAACAGTGTTTAAGCAGTTTCAGCTGTTGGGCCCGTTTGTTTAAACATTCCGGCGTTTTTACAGAAAAGCTCTAAACAGTTTGAGCATAACCTCCTGCCCAACCCTGGTTGAAATAAAGCCACCAGCCTCTCAATGCAGTCCACCATTCGGGACGTCAGCGAGTTCACCCTTGACACTGTGCCGTCCCCAGTTGTGATTGCAGAGCGGGTGGTTTTTGGTTTGAGGCCTCAGGATTGAGGATTTCTGGTTCGGGCCTGTCATGGGGCATTGCGTCATTCTAGGGTTCACAGGCATTCCGCGGGTTTTTGAGATCTGCATCTAGGAATCTTTTCTGGGACTAGGTATTCTGAGGTTTCCGCAAGCCGAGAGCCTGCACACGCCAAGACTTGAACCCTCACTCCTGAAGCCTCAAACTTCCTACCTGTCGCATGTCCGGCCGTCCAAAGGCCTTCCCGATTCCCTTCTTCGTCAGCACGGTGGCTTGGCTTCACAGTAGAAAGAAGTTTGGAAACCTTGGTTCAGTCACATGGTTCCGGGCTTGGGGGTGCATTTCCGAATTTCAGGAGCCACTGTGGCATGCGAAATCGGGCTGGTTGGCTTTTTGCCTTCCGCAAAGTGCGGACTCTGGAGGCTAGCAATAGCATAGGGAAAAGGTGAGAAAAAACCCTCAACAGGTCGAAGAAGATCCGTGCCTACGCGTGCGCGTCGCAACCATGAAATCGTTCAGAGCACCTCCTACCACCTACTCAGCTGCAGCGTCTGTGCTTCTCAGCCTTCGGGTTGGATGGCCCCGCCCTTGCTGTGCGTCTGAGCAGTCTAGCACAAGAGGCAATAATTATGCTCGACTCAGAAGGACTTTTCGGGTGGGCACCTCGTAGAGACAGGCAGCAGATGGTGGGGCAGTAACGGGCAGAACCTTAGCCAGGGTCTTGCGACAGACAGGGCCCAGAGAGAGCAAGGGAGGCGGTCTCGGTATCCTTTCTGCTCTGCAAAGGATGCAGTGAGCTACGACCTGGCTCCAATCTTGACGGGCGAGGGGATCAGCAAGATCGTCATCCAGGCCAGGGAGACTAGCCGATCCTCTGGGATGGTTGTGCAGCTATGCATAACATGTTGCGCCTTCGCAGTTGAAAAGGGAAGACAAGCTGTTCAGTTGGAGTTTTCCCGCAAACGGACCTCACATGGCATTAATGCATGAACCCCCTCTCCTGCCCTCCCCAGCAGTCTGAAGGTCCCAGGCCCTAGGCCCGTACGACACCTCCGATATTACACTCATACTACATGCAACGCTGCCCCAAAGACAACAAAAAAGAGGCCACTACGAAGCGCTTCCGTTTCGCTAGGGCATCTTCCTGTGCCTCGTGGGCTCCATCGAGTCGCTGATGACGGCCGAGGTTTCTGGGAAGTGCTTGTAGGATCAGGGGACTTTGTAAGTAACCTAAGTAGGGTGAGTAGTAAGTACCTTAATGGGGGTTATAAGACGTTGAAAGTAGATGTAGCCAAAGCTATCTGGCCCCACCACATAGCTCTACTTACCGAGCCGGTTGGTCCATTAAAAAGCATATGCCCAAATATGTTGGCAGGCATAAGCTGTGCAGACACAGCTGCAGGCCCCCACCCATGACTGCACACACACACACACACAATTGTGTGCACGCGCGCGCGCGCGCGTGTGTGTGTGTGTGCGCCCGTGCATGTGTGTTAGTGTAAACAGGCACCTGTACCAATATACATATGTTTGTATATATATATATATATATAGATTTTTTATATGCTGTATCAATAAATAAACAAATAAATAAATATATATATATATATGTATGTGTGTGTGACATTTACATCTATAAAAGCATTGCCCTAAACCCGAAACCACTCTGTTTCCTGTCTCACGCCGACTCAGAACCATGAACCTCGCCAGGCTTGTCCGAGTTGTGAGAGTGTAAAGCCGAAGCCCTGAACCCAAGAAAAACTCCTCAAGACAATTGCACAAAGTAGGAGGCAAAACACCACCGAAAACCACCCCCCCAATGCATTAGAGTCTTGGCGCTTGCATAAAAATATACATGCATGTATGCTGTCTCTTTGGGTGTGTTGTGTGGGTTTGTGAGATCGCTAAACTAAATCCTGAACCCTTCGTTCCCAGCCATGCGAGGTGAAAACACCTCTACCCTTGTCTAACAACTTTTTAATCCTTGTTTCCAGTGGGCCAGGTCGTCGAGTCCTTCACCAAGGAACCGGAATTCCCAAGCCTTCAACATCTCCATGTTTAGGAAGAAGGGTTTAAGGGTTAGGATTTAAACGTCAGGGCTTCGGATTCACTTTCGGGTTTCGGGTGTCCGATTGAGGGTACCCCCGAGCACTTCAAGGCGCGCGGTGCCACCTGAATTAATGGCGATTCTTGCAACAACTATTGTGACCGTTAGTTCTGGTAAGAGTATGAATGCTGTTCGTCTGTGGTCAACATCACCGTTGTTGCTGCTGTTCATGTGCCTGAAGCTTGCGGGGCGGGTCTTACATCTGTTTTTTGGGAGGTCTTGTGTTTTCTTGGGCCATTTTTTGGTCCAAAGGGGGGGGAAGGAAGGAAGGAAGGAAGGAAGGAAGGAAGGAAGTTCTTGCCATTCTGTCTGACTGCTTGTGCTCCCAGATTTGGCTGCGGTTCAAGCCATCGCTATTTCAGTACCTTCGAGTACTCGAGTCAGTCTTCCTACAAGTGTTACAACTGAAGATGATGCGTACTGGTGTTACACCTGTCTTCATTTTTGACGACTATTTTGCTTGCTGTGGCGGTTGTGACTGCTGATGTCAGATGAAACAAGAGTGTTACTTTCATGGCCACTCTGAAACCCACCATTGCGACTGTTGCTGCTGTGGCTGCAAGCTGCTACGACGACTACCACCACTACCGCTACATCATCCTCTTCTACTACGCTCCTGCTCGTGCTGCTGCTGCTGTTGCTGCTACGACTACTACGACGACGACTGCTGCTGCTACGGCTACTGCTACGACGACGAGCACGACGACGACGACTACCACTACTACGGCTGGAACGACGTGTTGTTCTAGTTCTGTTGTGATGATGCCCAGCAGGAGCCCGGCGATGGAGACCGCACTGTGCTAGCCATGGGCGCGGCCAATGTCCTCAGCGGTTTCTTGGGGGGCATGGGAGGCCCCCATCGTAGAGACATTCTTAGTAGTAACGGAGTCGCGAGTGAAGTTGTGACAAAACAAGGACAAACAATTCGCGTGGTTTAGCAGCATGATATCTTGCAGAATTAACCAGAATTTTATTTGGTAGTCCTCTCTTTAAAATATTCACATAATCACAAGTTATGCATCATACGCGAACACACGGAATCGAACCATGGTCATTAAGTCCCGACATTAGCACAAGCAATCACGAGCATAAAATTACATATTCGGCGGTGAGAGAACCGCACTTGAGAACTTATACGACCCGGGTTTTCGTCGGCATATGGCGTGGGTCTAGCAACAGTTGTTTCATAATATGCTCCCGGACACCTAGGCTGTTTAGGCCAGAAAGGGCTGGCATGCTTCAGGCAATGCAATGATCGGCCTTTCTACGGTGAACTGCCTGAATGGTGGTAAGGGGCGCTTAGGCCCCTGTGAACCTTGGCTGCAAGTTGGGAAATGTCGTACATGCGGCTTGGAGTCGTTGGCGGATCTTTCGATAGTTGAAAGCCAGCTCCAGATAGTGGCCTTGGATCCCAGGATAGTGACAGTGGTTGAAAGAGTATGCAAGTTTACAACCACCTCGCGACGGTTGCAACAATTACTTTAGAATCGGGCGAGCCCACGTGAGTTTGCTTTGGGCTTCACACGGACAGCCATACGGTTCGATGCAAGAGCATGCCTGGTGAAGGTCACAGCTCTGGGAATCATGGCCTGCGTCATGGGCCTTGGCCTTACCGTGATGCAAGGTCTGAAATCCGTCAAATCCCTGATTTCCTCTGCCCTCAAATTCCAGCCGGAGTCCTCAGCCGCTGTGTTAAAACAACCATCCGAGCATTGGAGCTCATTCGCCGACTTCTAACCGGCTGGCATACTGCGCAGCTGCGGCGCCTGCGGTCTAGCATTTGAGGGTCCCATGGTTGGTCGGATGATTTCCTAGTCACGGAAGCGGCTCTTCTCAGGCGCCTATCCATTGCTCAACTACATCCCTGTTGCTGCCTTAGCCGGCATCATGCTTGTCGTGACCGGGCTGCACTCGTTACCGCGGTAACCCCGATCCTCACACGCTTGAGCAGCAAATCAAAGGGATCCCGTTGAGTTCTGTGCGGCTCCTTCGTGCGACTGTTCTGGTTCAAGAAATTGAGCGGGGTCATTTCAGGGTTTCAGGATTTGTGACTTGTACAACAAGCCGCGCCGCTGCATAACCGAGGTTGTGCTGCACACCTTCAAGCAACATGGCGCAAAGGGACTTGCAACCTCACGTGTCATTAAATCTCCTGGTTGTGGAGCTGGTTCCCGGCATCTCGAGGCATCCCTCCCGGATGTTGTTTTGGAAGCGATGTCAAGCTTACTTAGTACGGGGAAGAGCCAGGCCCAGCCTCCCCGGCCTCTTTTCATAGAGGCCTTGCAGGCCCTGGCCGAGCCACCACACCGGGCCTTTTTGGCTGGGAAGAGGAGCAACGGATTGGAAAGCCATGGGTAGCTGACCAGGGGACATGATAGCAAGGCCGCGCACCGTCGGCGACCAGCAGGAGGAGCACTACTGCTATGACTATGTTGTATGATTACCACGACGACGACGACGACGACTACTGACTACTGCTAGCGCTACTGTGGTTATGATGTTGGCATGAAAACAGCCGCGATGTCGAGCCAGACGGTCAACCCTGAACCCTGAGCACCAAGGTGATAACCCGAAACTTCATGAGCCACAGGAGTCGAAGCCACACGAAGTGCCAAGGTGGTTCACCATCCCCATGGTGTTGGCTGCTTTCCTCCCGAAGAGCATGCGTGAGAAGCTGGGCCTGCAGCGCAAGGCCCTGCTACCGGCTGAGGTTTGGGCCAGTGTCGGTGGTTTCGTGTTTTCAGGCGTCGGCAGAGACGCCTAATACCTATAGTACCTGTAGGCTGCGACTTTTGTTTAACAGGCTTCACGCTTCTCGGCTTCTATTGTGGTGGGCTTCGATTATTTGGGTCTGCAGCCTGGGCAGTAGGGGAATTCGGGAATTATCGGGGTTCCAACTTCACACCTTAGGTCTATGGCCTGTTGCAGGTGGACTTTAGTCTACTAGCAGGCTTACTGCAAGGTACGGTGCCAATCAGGACCCCGACCAGAAACGCTTACAGCATTGCCTCAATGTATGCTCGGTTCTCATCTTGTGCGAGGCCCATCGGATGAGGTCCACATGGGTCCCTTCTTTCTTGCTCATCACTCATCACTGCCCAGATCGGGATTCCCGTCAAATCGTCATGGTGACTTTGCGTTCTTCTGGTTGGCTCTAACTTTTTGGGTTTCTATATGAACTATAATAAGGATGCTAAAAGTTCAACTTTCAGGAGAGGTTCAGAAGTCAGCCGAGGTGAAATTAGATGGTCGAAACAGAAGTTTTGAATCAGCCCACGGACTAGGAAGACTTAGGATTCGAGGTCGAAGGCGCCAGGACCATCTCCCCCTCTTTCCCTAATCGTCACTCTGTGCTCGAAGAGGTGCCGCGGATAGATGCCATTGTCATCATCATTGTGACGCTTGGCTTCCGTAAACCCTAAACCCCCAAGCTGAGTGAAAGGGCTTTGTGTCTGCCTGCCCACTAAGGGCTCTCCGGCAGTGTGGATGTCCATTCAATAAAAAAATTTAAGTGGTGAGCAGAGAGTTCTGGTCCGAGCTTTCTCAGGCGCAGCATGTCCCAATCATGAGATCGTTCGGCTCAGCCGAGGACGATCCTGTGCAAGTGGCCGGCAGGTGCGCCTTTTGATATGCTTTCAGGTCCGTGGAGTTCTCATGAGTGCTGCTTCCCATATGCTTTCTGGTTCAGTCAGAGCCTAGGGCCATCTTGACAGGCACCAACATCGCGGTGGCTGTGGGCGTCGGTGTTGCAATCTGTTCGGTGTCGTACGCCTGGAATTCAGCGGACACGTGACGCGGCTCGTGCTTGGATGTCTTAGTGCCTCTGAATTTGACGTCCGATGAGTTGTGGCTTTCGGGCTCGACACTACTTGTCACATCAATTTGTCTTGGTGTAAGATCTCAGATGCTGACTTGGCACCCGGCTTTGTGGAACAAACCCTTGCGAGAAGTGTTAATCTTGTTTGCTGGTTTCTGTTTGTGCCTGTTCGTCTCTGTGGCTAGGGTGTCCTTCCACGACTCCCTGTGTCACTCTCCCTCCTCTCTCGCGCACCCTCAGATACGCTTCCATCCAAGTTTCATGCATGGGGCATGCCTGGTATGCCAGAAACTGCATCAGTGAAGGCGCTACGCGACCAAGATACACTTCGGTACATCTTGCAATGCTGGGCCACTACACGGTACTGTAGCTTCCACGGAATGTAGCAACATCATCTCGCAGCTGCCACCATCGCCGCAATAGTGATATTTTCAGGTTCGAGGTCATCGTGTCAGAGAAGGAAGATGTGAGCCTTGGCTGTGTGAGGGCGCAAAGCAGGGAGTCTCCCGACATCAAAGAGGGCATCTACAGGCACAAGACCTATACTAAGCCAGCACACGAAGCAATAAGCCGTCCAGCAGCTCCAGTACGCAGCCGCACGACCGCCCGTGAGCCTTCCTCATCGCAGCTCAGGCGGGATTTAGGATGCATCTCCAAGCGACGTTCAGAACCAACGTAGCTGCAATGGCTTCGCAGGGCCTCAGTGAATGGTTGGATTTCTTCATGCGTGATGTCCTCGCCCCAGAGACGTTAGACGCCCGTGCCACAAACCTAAGGAAGCAGTACTTCATCCACGGGCCGTTCTTCTTCACCTCCGCCAACCGTTTCCTGCAGCCTGGCCAGCTATGCCACAAGGTCAGGCCAAGTGCGGAGCATTTAATTTCCAAAAGACGACGTGATGCCACTCTCCTCGCGCACGCTCCATGCAACGCATAAGCACGAATCTCACCTCCGGGCAGCAACCAAACCTTCAATACCGAGTGCAAAGCCAGTTGTTCAGGCGAATCCCCAACACCCGCGCCATGTACCGACGATACAGCCCCTGCATCCGATCGGCTTCTACACGACGATCACCACATGTCTTCTGTTAGGTTACTAACACCCTGAACCCTAAGCTCAAGTTCGTTTTGTAGTCGGAATGTAGCATGAAACTCGAATCCTCTACCCCGAACACCTCAACCGCCTGAACCCTCATCCTTCAACGCAATACCCAGCAAGTCTAACGGAGCCCCGAAGCAAAAGCAGCACTCACAATATGTCATTTCCCAGGAAGATTTTGAATGCCGACGAGGACCCAGAAAAGGCCTTTTGTGCCAACACTTCAGAGCTCGGATTGCTTTGAGTAGGGACTGGGGATACGAAAATCCTGAGGTCATGCTTTTTCTGTGGTTAGTACAAGGCCTGCTCTGCGTTTCGCTCCCAGCCGGAGCAGAGAGTGCAGCATCTTCGACAACAGCCTCTTACTAGCTAGTAGACTAAGGCCTGCTCCCGTTTTACGAGATATTGCGTCATCGCTTGGGTTCAGAGTTTATGAGGTTTTGATGTTCGTGCATGGGTGCCGCTGGTTTGGTAAGTTACCGGATAAGCTACACATATTGGTGATGTCTGCCACGACACCAGCAGCAGCACCAGCACCACCACTCAGCAGGTGGGTTGAGCAGACCACCGGGAACCTCTGCTCGAAAGCTTCGGGTTTCAGGTTGGATTCCTTCCGCTGCTAGACCTCTGCACGAGAAGGCGACATCGGAACTTGGGATCTCTGAGCCCAAAGCGCCGGGAAGGTCGAAGTCGTGTTCTCCGAAGCCACGTCTCTCTTCGACTACTCTGCCATGCAGGTGGGGATGCTGTGCTTTAAAATTTGGGAAGAGAGTCGGGAAAACTTGCCCAAGCCCTTATATTATCTCATAGAGTTGTGCACGGCAATCACGATCTGATCTTGGTTGAAGAATTCCATGTCCCAGGCCATGAACAAGGTCAGCGCTGAGCCCCTCGGAGACCATAGTTGGGGTGGTCATTTTTCTGGGTATCCCCGTGGAAGCCGAGTGCACTTTGATTGAAGCAGTTGGACAGTTGGGTCTCTTTTCGAGAATCAAGGTACAAGTCCAAGGGCAAACAGATTGTGTTCAAGTCGCTGTGCTCGAAGAGCACGAAGTTGATCAACAAGGCAGGGTGTCGGATCTTCCGCGATCTCTGAAGCGCCCGGCGCGCCTTCGTTCATGCAGAGCACGGAGTCCATCGTTTCGAGTCTTTGGGTACTCGGGATCAGCCTTCAAAACTGGTGCTCTCGCCGTACTATGCAGGTCTGCGTGGTCAGTCATGCTATCACCGTATATGAGTCCCTTCGTTGTTTTTGCACAGTGGACCCCAAGACCCATATTTCATTATGTTTCCTTCTGCATGGAAGCCTTCTCGGTTGCTAGAGCCTTCCAGGCCCAATTCTTCGATCCCATGCCTCCAGCTCTAACATGTCCAAAAGGTGGTCTTTTTTCGGCTTTCCGTGCATCGGAAATCTTAAACGAAACAGCTGCCTGCACATCCCAGATCTAAGTGCCAAGAGTGACTTTCAGGCCTCGCACTTGATGTGGCGGCCTCAGCAGGTTCAGCCTTGCCGCGAGTCGAGTTTCGCAGCACAAGGAATGCCGAGCGAATGTAAATAACAAGCCAAAGCGCGTAAAGTGATGGAGACAGCCTGCTAAGGTCCGAGACGGAGTACACAGAACGAGACATGGAGGTACCCTGGTGCATAGAATGTTTGGAACTTAGGCTTTGGATTCCGTCAAAAAAGGGCTTGGGACTATGACCAGTCCAGATCTAGCCCGTGACTATGGCAAATGGGATGGTCATGTCACACATCTGAACGCTAGAACGCGGGCCACGTTTCCTTGCCTGTGAACCTTGGGGTGCGAAAACGGGCTTACTTTTCGCTATCCCGGCAAAAAGCCAGCACGATGTGTCCAAGAAGCGGGTCCGTTTGAAGATAAGCCGGACACAAAGACGATGGAACTGCAAACCCTAAGATGTTCTGAAGGCTGGAAACATCGGCTCTAACTGTACTGGTTTTCCTCCTCAGCACAAAACATCCTTCAGAGCTTCAGAACTATCCAACCCCACAAAGGGGGTCGAGCCAACATGTCCTGAATCCCGGATCTTCAGCCCGAGAACGGACACTGAACTGGACCCTAAACCCCAAACCATGCCCACAAAAAGCCCTAAACCCCAAGCCTTCTTGAACAAAATTCGAAGCCGGGCTTCAGGTGGCCGACCTCCACGGCGTGGAGTGGGGCGGCGGCGATCTTCCCGAGGCTGGGCTTCGAGTAAAAAAAGTCACCATTGTTGCTTGTTGGTACTACGATAATCGATAGACATTTGATGATGTAATGTAATGCAACGTTATATCATATGTGATAATATACATATATATATATGCGTAAAAAATAGTTAATTACTTAATTAATTAATGAATGAACTAATTACGTATTTAATTAATTGATTAATTACTTAATTAATCAATTAATTAATTAATTAGTTAATTAATTAATTAATTGATGAATTAATTATTTAATTATCAAATTGTATCAAAGCATAACACAGAACCGAATGTTATAGAATGTAACATAGCATAACATAACATAAAACATAACAGATTAAGTTAGAATACAATATAACATAACATAGTCTAACATTATATAGTATAATACAGCATGACACAATCTAGTATAGTACAGTAGAATACATTACATATAATGTAACATAAGGAGGCCTGAATATTGGTATAAAGAATAAGTACCTGCCTGTGGTCCCTAATCGGATATCGTAGTAGCTGGGTTCTGGAGTACTATGCCATACTGTACTGTTTGTTCTTGGACCCGACATAAAATTTTATACCCTGTTCCTCGCTGCTTACTTCAAAGCGCAGATCGGCTCCAGAATCCTATTCCAATTGCTGAGGAACCCCGTATTCATGCCGTTGCCGGTGTGAACAGTTTCACTGGTGAGACTCATCCTTTCGACTGTTCACAAATGGAGAATAGATATGTTTTGGGTTGAAGCTCCGGTCTGTAGGCTTTCGGCGGCAGCTGCTTCAAAGCTGTAAGCTCTAGATTGTTTGTCTCTGGGTCCTTCTTGGGAAAGCCACAGGGAGTTGGGAAAGTCACGAGAGACCGGGTGGAGGTTCACATTTCCCCGAATCCAGCCACTTCCAGTTCGGAAGCGGCTGGGACAGAGGGGAGTTGAACGTGGTTTATAGCTGGGTTTTGACACCCCTGACCTGGCTCGGGGTCTAGACTCACTTCGCTTCAGAGCCCCGCAAACCAGGGCGGTGAGCTGGGCCATGCCCTGTCGAGGTGGGCCTGGGGTTCTTCTTTAGGACTTCATGTTCAGGGTGAAGCGGACAAGCTATCACTTTCGAAGCTTGTGTCTCTTTGTCTGATGCGGTGCTTCAGAACACGAGAGAGCCATTTTTCTCCACGCAAGTCTGCGAGTTTGGATGTCTCAGATCACAAGGCAACGAAGCCACGAGAAGTGCCACAACATTCCTGAAGCCATGCAATGTCTTGTGCCGTCTTACAGCCGTGCAGCCTTTGGTTTCCTTGTAAGCCAAGTTTATGCCGAGGTACGGGCTGCCCAGCCTGCATCCTGATCATGGCTCCCGCAACGGAACGAAAGGCGCTGGCAGCGCAGTGTTTTTTTTCATTTTTTTTTCGGGGCCTTCGGCTTGAAATTCCGGATTCCCTAAACTAATACTACTAGTAGTACTAATTCTAATTCCAATGCTAATACGAACACGGATACGAATTACTAGTACTAATACTAATGCCAATAGTAATACTAAAGCTATTACTAACACTAATGCTATTGCTAATCCTAAGACTAATACTAAATACTAAATACTAATACGAATGCTGACGTTAATCTTATACTAGACTGTCCCATACTAGCCTGTACTACACGATGCGATACTCTACCCACATACTACCATGTCCTATACGACTATAATATACTATAGTCCATTATAGCACCCATGGCCAGACTCTCCGGCACAAGTGGTCAGCGCCAACGACCTGACCGTGGTTGTGGGCAACGTGAACGAGGCTGCAAACGTTCTGAAGGCCGGGCGCCTCGTCCGTTCTGGGATGGAGCTTCGTATCGTGCCCAGCTCTGTTCAAGCTCAGGGAGGCCTTCTAGCAAAGGGGACACAGAGCAGAAATCTAGGGATAGACACTGAGAAATTCAAAATCGCTAGACCGCAAACCTGAACCGAATTCAGGGAACGAAACATCTGCTAGCACCCCATGAGATCCTCATTGATACAACCGAAACAGCAAGAAAACAGATGTTACCACAAACTGAACTCACCTCGACGCCAACACCCCCGCCCCAAAGCATTAACGATTGACGGACGTGTCTCTGTCTATGTTTGCCTGTGTAGCCTCTTTAGACCTTAGGTATAGAGGATGCTAGGATGTCACACATCATATGCGCACAGATATGTCAATTCTGTACGACAAGGGTAGAAGGGTTTGAGTGAAGATTCGACCTCAACGAGCTTTCAGGAGCCAACCCGGTCGCCCTCGCGAACTCGGCGCACGTGGCTGGGCAGCAGGCTGTCAGGAATCGGCCTTTAAACCCTAAGCCCTAAATCCTCAGTGTTGAACCTCGGCCCACACCTGGTGCTGAAGGCCTGGATGCATCGTGGTGTGCCCATGCGGATCTCCTATTTGATCGGGCCCTTGAAAGAGGACACCCTGTGCGATTCGTAGATTGGGGTGGAGCTTGGCATGTAGCCTCGAGTGCCTGGGGGTGTTGAGATGAAGAGTTGGGGACTTTAGACCCTGGTCCCACCATTTAAATGTTCGATTCCCGGACACCTGCAGCCCCGACACCTGCAGACCTCAAATCGGAACACCCAAGACGAATGGTTTGTGAGGCTTGGAGCATGGGAGTTTTTGGTGTCGCAAAAGCCACTCCAACACTAACGTATCTGGGAAAGCCATCCTAGGGATCTGGAGTTTAAAAGGGCCCAGAGTTTACTGTAAGGGTAATATACCATCTTTCGCCCCTGTATAGCATACCATAATATGTCCGACAACCCCTGTTCAAACTGGTCCGTGTCTGACAGGAACCTGTGAATGTTTGCAGCGGAAGTCGCAGTTGCTTGAGGCAGTGCGCCGGCTGCGCAGCAAGGCCTAACAAAGTGGACAGTTTGTGTCGCTGTCAGCTTGAGGTCAGCAAGTGTAGGGTGTGATTGGGATATTTGAAGCAGAACAAAAATTTGTCGGATCGGTTCAGCTCTTGATACAGACAAGAACAGTCGAGCCTTGCTGCTCCAGTTCTTCGAACATCAAGGCACCTACGTGCTGTTGCACTTGTGGGCTCAGAGAGGGCCAAAGCCCCTCGTCCCTGGGCTGGCTAAGCACATTCAAGCAAACGGGCACAGGAGCGTCGGTTCAGGTTTGGAGGACCTTTCGGTCTCAAGCGATGCAAAGCCAGCCCAGTTTCGCAGCTCACAGAAAGCCTGGAAATGCCATGGATTCTCCAACTTGCAACCGGCACGGCGCCTTGGGTGTAGTACGGAATAGTGTGAACCTAGGCCGGGATGTAACAACGACTGGACAGAATGACGGGAATGCTCGTCACGAAGTAGACACAGTAGACACCGTACCATAATGCCCCAGAAGAGAAGCGAGGCGGAATGCGAGCAATGACATGTGAAGATCAACAGAACAGCAACAGCGACGGCCTCAGCACAGCCACAGGGGCTTTCTCAGGCCAAGGCAGACCTACCCAACTTGATGTCCTTGGTGTTTAGCTTGAAGCTTTAGGTCGAAGCAATGCGCAACGCCAAGACGCGATAGGCAAGAGGCGAGAGGCAAAAGCCTGCACAACTTGGTTTGAAAGCAGCAGACGGAGTCTGCTTGCGTTGGCCGTCCGGTCGAGATCGCACCGTGGTTTCGCGGGTTCGACAGGAGAGACTACATATTTCCAGGACGCTTGCTGCAGCTGAAATCTAGCCAAGTAAGAGGTTATTGACATCTCGAGGGTTCGTCGATCACACACAGCCTGCGAACCAGGCATGTTGAAGAGAAGTGTTTCGCATCTTCTGCTTGAGCCCACAGCCACTGCCCCTGACATCGCGAACAGCGGCGAGTACACTGAGTACACCCCAGCATTCAAAAGCGACGTTGCCCAGCACCAGGATTCGGAAGCAAGGACCAAAGGACCATGGACTGCAGGGATCTCCCCAGTAGCGATGGGCAGATTGGAAGGTCTTGCGGAGGGAGGTCAGAATAGCATCAGTCGGCATCTACCCCCCTTCAGACCGGCCCCTGTTAAAACTGAGTCAGAATCTGGCAGAGAGTCGATCCCGCAGCGCGGGCTCGTGAAGTTTTGCTGGAGGTGCCGCAAGCTTTGCAGCTAGCATATGCAGCATGGAGGCAGCCCTCTTCCAGACTGTACTGATGCCAGCAGCAGATCACACAACCACCCACAGCCAGTTATAGGGTTTGCTGAGATGTTCGTCATTCCACTACATGGTACCATTCCCCGCATGCCCCGCTGCCGAGTGCACTTTTGTATGTTAAGCTTGCCGTCGAAATGACCACACCTCCTCAACGGGAGCTGGTGGTGGAGTGAGATTTCTTGCTAGTTAATCCCAGCCGTGAAGCCTTCTCAGACGTTCCGGTATCTGAAAGATGTTCTGTCCCAGGACTGCAGCGCAAACTCCGTCAATCTGTCGGAGTCTAAACCCAAAACTGAACACCCCAAACTGTCCCCGTGGTCTAGGACCTAGGAGGGGCCCTGAACCTGGCATCCTCGGAACACAACTACGTCTAGCTACGTGGTGTAAGGACATGAGTCCATCTGTGATGAGACTCTGTAGCTCTGAGTCTTTTGCCGGCACGGAGGGGCGAATTTGACAGGTTGGTCTCTTAGGAGGCGTTTCAGTTTCAGCGTAGGTTTTCTCATCTCGTTGTCTTTACCACCAGCCAGTCTTTCCAGCTCGTGTCCTTTAGAGCCTTCCCTGAACCTGGCGAAGCCAATCCAAGGGAAGGTAGGAAAGTCGTGGTCCACCGGGCAGCTGCCCCGAAGGGCATCACAACAGATCTATAGATTGGACATGATTTGACGACGGGTGTTCGAGACGCGGGTGTTCCGGTGTTTTGGGTACGTACCCATACCCTATAAAGGCCCTAAAGCTGAGTGCTATTCAATCGGGCCGGGGTTATGCGGGGCTGTTCCATCTAGATGCTATCCCTTCCGTCTCCTGCTACCGATGTTCTAGTTCTTCCGGCCTCTTTGGGAAAGACCAGAAACCCCATATGTCAAACCTAAACCCTGTTGCTTTTAGTCGTGTCAGTCAGTACAAATAGTCGAATAGTAGGAGCCTGGCTTATCACGAAGCGTTTCTGTTTAGTGATGTGGTGCATGGTCCATGTGTGTCATGCATGTGTACATATATATATATATACACATACACATACATGTGTACGAACATATGCGCACGTGCGCCTCCTGTGTGGTCATAAATGACCGTCATGTCCATCTGGTGCCCTTTACATCCCAGTGCCGTGAAACCCAGCTAACTCATTTCGCTGCGTAGTCGACTTCGAGACCGCTCGGGAGTGGCAAGCTGCCCATGAAGCCACTGGAAGCACTGTCAGGATCGCAGCAAATTTGTTGTGGATTGCTTTTCTGTATCATGAAGCTACGCCACATTTATGGCTGACTACAAATTCTAACATTCCCAGATCTATTCTAGTCCCTGTCATCACCACGTTCTCAAAAGCGGCAGCTGTTCTGCGATTTACAATTTTTAGCTCGGGCGCAAAGATGACGTTCCTGGCGAAGAGAGGTTCCTCCAAAAGTCGAGAATTCCTTAGGGCTCTAGACGCCAGATTTAGGGATGTTCTGCTGGTAGGCCTTCTATGCTCAGGATGTGATTTATAGTTTTAGATTTAGCTTTTCGAGCTTGGCCTTCGGGGTCTCGGCCCCAGAGCCCGTATCAGGATATTGCTTTCATGATCTTTCATGTGTGTGTATATGCCGTATATGTAGTTTAAGTTGTCTATACATACCTCTACAGTCTATACAACCATTAGGCCACAGTCTCCACAAGCTGTTGCGCAAGCGTGCGTGCTGGCGGCGCTTGCGCATGGTTTCTTGTCCATTGTTGTCTGTAGTTGTCGGGGTTTCACAAGGGCTTCGGGGGGAGGGTGGCGGGGGAGGCCAACAACGACCATGCTCTTACAGCAGGCCTGGATTGTTCATGTTTGTCTCCTGCTGAATGTTGCTTCTCATTATCAGTCTCGTATTTTGGGCCCATTGCTTTAAGCAGGCCTTCCTCAGAACGGTGTCCTGCTTCGCATGTTTCGCGCTGCCAGCAGGCTCATGTCATGGTCACTCGTGACGAGCAATTTGGCATTTGGAGTTTCAGCATAGCTCGACATGTCGAGGGAAAGATGTGATGGCCTGGAACAATGGTCGAGTGCATGTTTAAAGATCCATAAGTAGATCAGTGTACTTTGGCGGTTGCTGCCATGGCCAGCGTGGCGCATGGCTTTGTGGAGTTTGCGCTCTCTCAGGAGGTGTGTCGGCCTGTTACACTGGCCTGAGACTGCCCACCAATGCCCCTCCAGCGCATGCCAGTCCGAACTAAACCCTAAACTTTAAATTTGCTTCTTTTGGCCTCTTTGGGCTCTTTCTGCCTTGTCCCTGCAAGACTCTGCAGCTGGAACTCTGCTCCTTGATCCGATGTAGCTAGAAGAGTGCATGATGGTGGAGTGCGTCGTAGATGTACATCGTAGTGCCCTTTCTTTCCCGGTAGCGGCAGCAGGCACAAGAGTACCGCTTTGAGCCTAAGCCATGTATGTAGACTGATAGGTCCTGGTAGGTTCAAAGCTCACAGAACGCGGAACTGCTAAGCTCCTTGAGCGCTCACAGTCTATCAAACTCTGCGCTCTACAACTCGTGCACGTGTCGATGTGACTTCATGGAATCCTTACGTAAGCCGCATGCCGTATGGCTCATTCGAGCATTATGCTCTTACTCTTATTTTTTTGTAGGCCTCGACGGCCAATACCACCAACTCGGGCTCGGTGCCCCTATCAAGCCCGTGCAGTAATGGCCTGAGTCCGATGTCGTCGCACCGGAACCAGCTTTTTGTTATACACCTTTTCGCTGTCCCGCCGGCGGCTTGACAGCCTTAGTGCTGCGGTAACAACCCCTACACCCTGACGACAGCCGCAACACATGTCATAAACACTGTACTACATCATCCAGCCAAGCTCTGCAGTTGTAGGTTTTCGAGGAGGAGTGCGCTGCAATGGCGACAGTAGCGCCACGGGCAGGGACGCAGGAGCCCTTGCTGCCCGATGGGCAGCGCTCCGGGGGACAAAGCTCTGGGGATGCAAGCTGCTTGGCCATCCCTGTGATGGTCGTGCTTCTTTTCTATTTGGCTCGGTTTTCTCAGACGGCGTGCAACCCGGAAGACCTCCAGCATGTGAAGCCTCCTTGCGGTGGCAACTTGCTTCCTTCCTACTTCGTCCTGTCCCAGCGTGTGAACCTCAGCCGAGCTGACTCGATGGTCAACGTCTACGACAAGCATTGGGTCAGTCTTGGGCATTTTACAAAGACATCTACGGGCATTTTGGATACTCGGACCCGTCTAACCGGATCTGGTTTGAAGCACGACGCCCCATGCTGACTAGAACGTTCTCGTCGCTGCCCCCGCAATACAACCTGCAGGAGTGTAACGTTGACTTTGGTGGACAGCGGGGTGGGATCTTTGATGTGAGCGAAGACAAAGATCACGAGGGCTGGTTTTGTGAGTTCAAGAAGGGTTGTCTTGCCAACGTCTACAACGTCACAAGACAGCATACGAGTCCTAGCTCCAATGTCCAAGGCGATGTGCATCATGTGGCCAATGCAATGTTGGGTTTCGACTACTTGAAGAATTGGCAGTTTCTCAAGTGGCGCACTCAATGGTACCTGAACATTGTCGACCCGACGGATGGCTCCATCATAGCGCACGCGAAGCAACACGTCTCTTCGAATCCGAATGACGAGCTGCGCACCTTCAACTGGACAGTGGACATCTCAGAGTCTTCGCAGCTGCCAAATTGGGTTGTTGGCTTCCTAACCGCCTTTAATGACGTGCATCCGCAAGATAGTTTCGGTATGCCTGGAGCCAACGGCAGGAGGAGGAGGATGGCCGTATACTAATTAGCTCACTGGCCGACCTTGGAAAGCTCGGCAGAGAGGGGTTGAGTGCTGCGGAGTCACGACTTCAGAGATCATTCCAAAGCTCTGAGCAAAAGAGCCTCAAAATTTGTGCAGTCAACCTCGGCTAGCTACTACTACTACTACTACTACCACTACTACTACTACTACTACTACTACTACTTCTACTTCTACGACTACTACTACTACTACTACTACTACTACTGCTACTACTACTACTACTACTACCACTACTACTACTACTACTACTACTACTACTACTACTACTAGTGCCACTACCACTACCACTACCGCTGCCACTACTACTGCCACCACCACCACCGCCTCCTCCACCACCACCACCACCACCACCACCACCACTACTACTACTACGACTACTCCTACTACTACTACTACTACTACTTCTTCTACTACTACTACTACTTACCACTACTACTTACCACTACCAGTACCACTACGGTCAGTGCGCAAGGTTGCCGTTTCAAGGCCTCAGGTTTCAGCTCTGGGGGCACAAACTTGCCTTGACTCCGAGCTCTTGAATCCGAGAACCCAAGGGAGCCTCAGACCCTCCTATGTATTTCTGTATGTATGTATGTATGTATGTATGTATGTATGTATGTGTGTATGAATGTATGTATGTATGTATATATATATACATACATGGATGTGTGCGTGTGCGCATATACATATATATGCATGTATATGTCTATGTATATGTATATGTACATGTACATGCATATGTAGATGTATATGTGTATGTGTATGTGTCTGCATGTATGTATGTATGTAATGTAATGTAATGCAATGTAATGTTATGCAATGTAATGTAATGTAATGTTATGACATGACATGACATGATATGATATGATACGATACGATACGATATGTATGTATGTATGTATGTATGCATGTATAGATAGATAGATAGATAGATAGATAGATAGATAACTGTTTCTTGTTTGTCTACTTGTTTTTGCAGTGGTAAACCGGGATCGGGGATTCAAGCAAGCCAGGAGGCCACAAGCTGTTCGAATACCAGGCCGGGCTTTGCTATGGGCCTAAAGCCAAGGCACTCAGTCTGCTGACTCCACATGTTTAGGGTTTAGTGTTTGGGGCTTAGGGTTTGGGCAAGGTACTGTCAACACTCCTGGCGTGTCACTGTTCCAGGGTCTGCAGCCACGAATCCCAGCTGCTAGTACTGGTAGTCGTGGCTTTGCAGTGCTATTAGTCTTACACGAAGCTGTGACCTCTGAACCTTTATCCCTCATGTCCTGTTCGTCGTTTTATGCCTTCAGCCTTATTCTAAGCCCTAGCCCTAGTCCCAAGAATCCCAAAACCTTCAGCCGAAACCGCGGTTGTGAAGCCTCCATCCATGGAAACACAACGAAACCGAAAAAAGGCCGGCGAGCGCCATGTCTCCTATGCGCGAGGCTGATGAGACTGAGCAGCTTCACGTCCGAGATTTGGGGCGATTTTCCTGCCTCCCTTGCTTGGGGCTTAGGCTAAGGGGCCAGTTTGGGATTCAGATATTAGGAGTCAAATTCTCAGGGTCTGTAGGACTGTGGGACTGCATGATAGAATGTCAAAACTTCAAAACATGCTACGGAAGCGATTTCAATGTTGCTTCAGGCCTTGGGGTTCACTGGGGTTGTGCGGTGTCGGTTTCATGCGGTTTAGGGCTTACGGTTTGCTAGGCTGCTAGGCCCTAGGATTGGGTGATGCAGTCTGCAGCATACCCCAAAGTCGAGAAGCGCTTGGGGATCTCATTTAATTTAGGGTAGGAGCTTCAGAGTTGCAGCATGGAGAGTTGGGTTTTACAACCTCCGCGCACTGCATCCGAACCAAGTTGGCTGCTTTAGGTCACAGCAGCTTAGAGATAGAGTTTATCCGCCCTCACCCCGTGTCCCGAAAGCTGGATCCGTAAGAGGAATTATGCCCCGAAGCCTAAGGGAAGGCTTTGGCTGCTTTGCCACAACATGCCTTGGGTGTTTACAGAAGCATTTAAGTGTTTGAGGGTTAGGCTCTTCCATGCTTTTCTAGTAATCAGCACACAGATTCTTCTGCATATCGGGTGAATGAGCGGTTTCTCTCGGCTCTTGGTGAGGGGGGGCGTAGTAAGCAGGCTACAAGTAAAACTCGAAATGGGGACACCACGACATGTAACCGCTGGACTTTATGCATTTGAAAGGCTCCTGAGCAGTCTGTATCAAGGATCGCTGCCACTTTGGCGTTGCATGTACTCGAGCCTCAAGAACGGCAAGTGCTGCTTGGATGTGATCGGGGCTGGTATCCGCGTCTTATACTTGATCCGATGTGATCGTTCATTGTCTCGGGATTGGCTGGATGTCTGGGGGATGGCCAGGATGGGCACTAGTAGCATAAAGTCTGCTGAAGAGCGTTGGCAGCAGTTTGCCGGTCGGTCCAGGCCCTTCACCGTTAATCAACCAACATCTAGACCCTAGACATCCGCTCTAAGTCAGAAGCATGTCGCAGCCTGACATTCTGAAAGCCCCAATGCGCCGCCATGTTCAGAATCGTCATTTCGCCGACAAAGAGATACGAAAGTCGTAAGAAGCAAAAACCCTTATGGTAGCCCTTATAGAACCCTTTTGAGGAACCTTTTAAAGGCTCGTACTGTACCCCAATAGAGAGACTTGTGCAAGTTCAGACCTCAGAGGAGCTTGCCTGGACCTTGGGAGGAGAGACTTGGGCTTGTGCTGTGTAAGACCAGTGGGTTTAGGGTTCGGGTTTCAGGGTTTAGGTTTAGGGTTCTGGATGCAAAAAAGGGTTTAGAGTTTAGGGTTTATCGAAATTATAGGGGTTTGGGTGCCAAGAACGTTTTGAGCGGAACGTGTTGCCTGTTGGAACGATTTTCGAAGTTGGGGGCATGAGACCCTTATGAAACCTATAAGCCCGCTATACATCCGCAGACGCTTGCGACTTGAAGTCGGCTCGCAAGCTACGGGGAGCTCCGTCTTTGTGGGACGTTGTTTGCCCTTTCGGCCGACGATCATGGCTAATGCGACACTTTCCGCGCCTCCGCGGCTTAGTTGCATGGATTTCAGGCTCAGAAGGGTGCAGGGCTTATATGGTTTAGGATAAAACGGTATTGCGTGGTTGTGTTTTATCTTGTTGGGTGCTGGCTCGGCGCAGACCGCAAGAAAGGAGTGGGAAGTTCTTGCCGTGATGTGCATCCGTCATCCTAGACACAAGAACTCGTGCATCCTACGTCCTTCCCTGCGGTCCAAACCCTAACTAAACTCTGCGCCGAGAATGCTAAACAGCTGAACGCCTTGGCCAAAACCTTACAGGTACTGGGGAGAGATCAACGCCATGCACCAGTTCTGTGAAGAGAAGTGCCTCGGGCTGAACATGAAGATGTGACCCTACGGAGCGTTTCAGGAACCTTGGGTTTAGGGTTTAGGGTAATGTGTCAGGATTCCAGGTTTTCGTGAGTTTAGCATACGGCTGAAAGAACAGCTACATATACTTTACCGCAGCCGTATCGAAGAATCAACGGCGAATATACAAGCCAGAGTCTACAAAGGGATCGGGATCATCACGTCATAGAAGCAGTCCCACGATCAGTTGCTCAAGCGCCTCAAACCTGTTTCTGTTTATCTTTCCGAGGTACGTCGTGTCCCCCTATGTCGCCGAGTTTTGGAACTCCCTGTGCCTGCGACGGATAGTAGAATCGTTTGCGGCTTCAGTCAGTGCTTTAGGTTAGGGCTGAGGTTTTCGGTGGTTTCGCGTGTTCGATGCAGCGACCTCGTGCTTGCATGTGTAGCTTGTTCGGACTTGTCAATCTTAATGAGAATGGAAAGCTCTCAGCAAGGAGCAACATCCCGTTCTTCTGCGTTCCAGCCGCGTACTGCCTCTACCGTGGCCAGATCTACGACATGCGCGTGAAGATGATTTGGATCAGCATGCTGCTTGGGCTTTGGTTGGCCTGTCCCAGAGAACCCAATACCCCTTAACTAAGGAATATGCCGTAAATCATAATATTAAGGCCCCTATAATTTAAGGGATGTTCCTTAATTAAGGTGTATTGGGTTCTCTGGGATAGATGCCATGCCCCAACTCAATTTGACAATTGGTGACTCGCGATGACCCCATCTCCGGCTCTGAAAAACACCCTTCCGAGAGCAAGCGCGGCATTCTACACTACACTCCATCCCTCCCCATAGCATAGTTAGGGTTTAGGGTTTAGGGTTGCGTTGTGACTTTCTCCAACCTGGTGAAGCTCTGCAATAGTCCTGTCACCACGAGCATGCCGCCTATGATCCCACGCTGGATACTGCTACTGCTATGTCAGCAACCACAATCATGTCGGCAGTTCTGCTTCTCCCTGAAAGACTGTAGGGCTTCAGTTAGCCGAGATAATAGGTGCATAAGAAACCTACCTGTAGATGTTGTGTTACTTTCGAGCCCAAAAGATTGTCCCCAGACTTGAAGCAATGCTCACGATAGTTGCTGTTGCAGTCCGATCCCCTCAACGCCAAGCCTGAACCATACCCGGAAACTCTGAACCCTGAACTCTAAACTCTAAACCTCGAAACCCTGAACCAGAAGCCCCAGATCCACCACGAAACCACCAATTCCTGAAGCTTAACATAAGCCCTACAGACCCCCGAAACCGACTCCTCGATCGACAGAGGTTTGTGGTCGGCTTGGGCAGCTTCATGTTCCATGGCACTATGCGTTTCGAGTGGGCTACTTGGCTTGGGGCTCGGGGAGTAGGGGTTTTGAGTTTAAGGTTAGGGTATAGGATGGTGTAGGTTAGGGGCTTCAGCGTTTATGGTTTTGGGCCTATGGCCTGATTTGTAGGGCTTTGGGGTTAAGGAGTTTTGAGGTTCCGCGTTGGCGAAAATGCACTTCTTGGCAAAGAATAGTATACCTATCTCTTTTGGGCCTCGTGAGCTCAGTAACCAAGTTGAATGTAGGGTCTTTTCCAGGATTTTGGGTTGCCTCTTGGTTTGAAGCGTGGGTGGTTGGAGATTGAAGGCCGCAACCCTAAACCCTAAACCGCACATGTTGGGGAAGTTGTGGGTTTGGGGCGGCTGGCTACTGGGGTTCGGGGGGGAATTCAGGGCGCAGGGTTGGTCCATGAGGCATGGATTCTGCAGTGTTTGCAAACTCGGCTGCGGGTGGCTCATACTTCAAATGTTCAGTTTAAGAGGTAGAGACAGACCGTATAAGCCAACGCCAAAACTAATTGCGCGTAGCATCACGTGATCGGCGCAGACAACGCTTCGAGCATCCTTTTCTGGGTATAGGGAGGGGCCGATGCTTGTGTGCCGGCCACATAGTTGTTCATTTGATTGTTGCCTGAGTAGAGCCTGGTCCGGCTGATGAACATGATGATGGCCGTGTCGTCTCGTCTGATTGCTGCCTGGCCAGAGCCCGGCCTAGCTGATGCGCATGATGCTGGCCGCTGACCGCTTTGTTTCGTTTGACTGTGTCCTGGATAGCGCACGGCCCAGCTGACGCACGTGATGCTGGCCGAATCGTCTCGCTCGCTTCCTGTTTGGGCAGAGCCTGGCCCAGCTGATGAGCATGATGCTGCCCGTATCTTGTCGCCTGATTGCTGCAAGGGCATAGCATGGCCCAGCTGATTCACATGATGCTTGCCATCTGGTCTCATCTGATTGCTGCTTGCGTAGCGACTGGCCCAGCTGATGCGCATGATGCCGGCCGTATCTTATGGTCTGAGTGCTTGCCTGGCCACAGCCTGGCCCAGCTGATGCTCATGATGCTGGCCACGGGCTTCTTGTTTTGTTTCACTGTGTCCTGCGTATAGCATGGCCCAGCTGATGCACATGATGCTCGCCAAATCGTGTTGTCTGAATGCTTGCTTGGGCAAAGCCTAGCCCAGCTGATGCTCATGATAAGGGCCGTCTCGTCTCTTGTTATCACTTCTAAAATGGTTTCGTCGTACTCGCACCTTTATTTACAAGATTGCTGACCTTACTTATGACTTGATGCCTTGTGCTGATTTGTTCTCGGGGTTGGTTCGCAGCCCAGAGCAGTAGGTTCCGGAGGCCATGCTGACATGTAGTTGGAAGTAGGCTGCTGCTCATCATCGCCGAGCCCGAATGACTTCAGTTGGCCAGGGTTGAACGGTTGGGGTTCTGGATGCTAACGCTCTGATAGAATCTGATGAGGAAATGTGGGATGAAGTGCCCATGTTCTTGCTGGTCCTGTCCGCCATCGTCTCGAAGGACATTTGATTTGGGTGCAGGCCTCTGTGAGACAGCGTTGTCCATTCAGAGCCCTCAATATTGCGATCATGTCAGCTGCTTGTGAATGAAGACCTTTTTCAGACAGGCTAAATAGATGTCATAGCCTGCAACTGCTTGAAACGCAAACCCTAAATCACAATGACAAACGTCTGTTGCTAGCCGGCAGCTACATGGCATGCCCAAACCCGGAGCCAAAGGACCTTGACGTAGCGGTAAACACCATCGCCATCTTAAGCCCTTGGCTCTGCATTGAGCTTGAGTATCCGGTTGTAGTGCGGACAAACGGTGTACAGCAGATAAGTATGATAAGCAAGTAACATCTTGTCTGATCTACTTACGCCAAGAATCCGAGTTTGTCGACTCGTCACCCGATACTACTACAGTACGCGAGCCCAGAAAGGCCCTAGTAAACATATTTAAACTTTGTACTACTGACCTGTAAAGCTTTTGTATAGACCTAGAACGCCTGCCAAGCCAGTCCAACACTTTCTGAAAACTCTTTCATCAATTCTGACGCTCCATGCCCCATGAATCCCTGGCAAGGATGATGTGCATTGGATGACGTCGGGGATCTGGAAGCATCTCATTCATCTTCTAAGTTTCGGAGCAGCGACCGTTGGCATGTGCATGCTCCTTGGACGGCTAGAGGGTTCGGAGGTTTAAGGTTGCACAGGGGTTGTCAAAGAGGTTCCATAAGGTTTCGGCAAGGTTTTAGGCTCTGGATTCAGGGTATAGGGTCTGGGGATTTTCTGCTTAGAGTTCACGGTCTTTTTGTTGTGTAAAGAACACTCGGAAATTCGGGATTTGAATTGCATGCTGCATCTATGAGGGGAGGTTTCATTAGCTTTTTGTAAGATTGGCAGCTGTCACGAGACCACGTATGGGAGGGCTCCCGGCCGTGGTATGTGGTGGTATGACTGGTTGGCGGTTTGCTTTGGGTTCCCGGGATTCTGAGGTTTAGGGCCCCATACACTCATAAACCCCAAACCCTGAACTCCATGCCCTATAATCCTAAACCGTAAAGCTACCGAGGTACTTGCTGCGGGGCGACTACGAGATCTTCCTGCCACTCGGCCCGTCTCAGGCTTTGGGAGTCTACGTTAGGGTTTCCGGCTCTCGTGTTGAGACGACTTGGGTTTAGGGTTTAGGGGTGAGGATTGGGCTGTGAGTTTATCGTTTTTGCCCTGAGCTGCGATCGTAGGCCTAGTGACAATCTAAATCTCAGCGCGACACTCTAAAAACATGGCTCCAAGACCGCACCTAAGATAGAAGCCAGCCTAAGCAATACCATTCCTTAGGTTTCTGTTCTGTAAGTATTTGTTTAAGTCTACAGCACACCAAACATATTCAAAACAGCATGCTTCTCCTTAAGCCCTTGACTGCTGTTCAGAAGCCGTCTCCTCATGTCTCCTCCTGCGTTTTCAATACATTTCAACGTCCGACCTCGCCTCAATTGGGGCTCGATGAGGGGCTTCGGGTTTAGGGTTTACCCTAAACCCCGCAACCCTAAACCCTTAGCTCTTTCGACTGTACCCTGCAATGCGGGCTTCGTCCTAGCCAGGTGGGAGGCAAAAAAACCCTTCACTCTCACAAACCCTAGCCCTGAACCATAGACCTTAGCTTACTTTCAGTGTCGCAGTCTGGGATCTTGATGCGGTTTACGACCTAAGCCAAGTGTTGAGAGGTGTGCAGTCACTTCAGGGAATACTAACAGGGCACTTGGGCATATGCTTTCCACATGCCTGGCAGCAACGGTGATGGCTTCCAGTTCGCATTTCGGTGTTGCACAGGGTTTTACATCCTGCTTATATGAACAACTGAGAGAGTTGATGCCTTGTGCCATGCCTGCGCAGGGAGGGCCTACAAAGCCCTCGAGCATACTGTTCCGTGAGCCAAGAACCTGACTAGGCTGACCCGACTGTGAAAGCATAACATGCATAAACCGCCCGAGACCGCACTGTGGACGCCTTTTTCTTTAATTTAGGACACCAAGCACAGGCTATGCTATACGCCTCATTGAGGGAGGGCAGTCTACATCTACTATTGTTGATATACTGATCATAAACATGTTCTTCCTAAACTTCCTAAACCCTAAACCCCAAGGCACTCCTTCACTGTCGTTGTGCTCTTGGACCTTATCCTGAGCTGCTCGGTCATCAGGAATTTCGCGGCTTTCGAGCGTAGGGTTGGAGGGCCTTTGGGTTTTGGGTTTAGGGCCTTTAGGGTTTACGGTTTAGGGTTGAGCTTGAACCTTATGGATCTTTTGGGGTTTAGAATCCTTGACGTGAGGGTTTCTAGACCCTAAACCCTATAAACCCTAAACCCTAAACCCTACGAATCGTGCGGAGCCTTGCCTGCTGTGTGCGAGAGTGAGTGTCGAAACCCTCATTTCTAAAGGGGCATCTTGGAGTTTAGGATTTGGGGTGGGGCCGGGGTACCGAGCGGAATTGGTCTGCATTGTCAGGAAATCCTCACACTAAATGAAGCCGACACCCTCAAACCCCGAACCCATAAATACACCTAATGTCGGGGCCTAAATAGATGCCAATACTATTTCGGGGGTTCCTTATTATAATTAAATTATAGTACGACGGGCCCCAAAAAGGCCTCTATATTAATCCTCAGCAAAGATCTTGTGGCCTGAGGCTTGGGGACCGCACAGTGAAACCGTCTTTCAGACAGCCTGCTAAACCCAAGAATTTGGAACACTGACCGCTCTTCCAGAGGCTTCGTATGCACGCAGAAAGCGGATCTGCATGGTTCACATATTGCCAGTGGCCTGATCCTCGAATGCAAATTAAATGGGGTTGATGTGGTCAGAGATTTGGTTTTTCCACCAAACAGTCTCGCAACGTTCACCGTATGTTTTTTTTTTTAATGAGGGGGGGCCTGAATCATTAGTACCAATATTAATAATAATAATAATCATAATCATAACCATATACTCATAATCATAGTATACTAATATTAGTAACACTATATAGTATAATGAACAAGAATGATATTAGGTACCGCCCCCATTCAACCAGAGTTTGATTACCAAGGCCTCATCTGCTCCCAAGCGTTTAAGGCAGGTTTCCTAACATTAGGGGCCGTACTAATAGATAAGTACAATAGGATGCAGGGTCTATAGACCCTAAACACCCGAACCCCCTAGACAGTAGTTCGAAAGTGTGGCTAGAACTACTACGACCCTGGGTGGCCGAAGGTTGTGCAGAGCTTGTGGTTGTGGTTAATGTCTTTACGATGGCTAATGTGCTGTCGTTCGCCAAAGTGCCCGTGCCGTCGTACCAGGACCCTTGCCCTGGCATGTCCGCGTGTGAGTGCTCAAACCCAAAAGGCCCAAAATCCTGAGTCCAAGGATCATTGGATACGCAGCCTCTCTGGGCGTGGGGCGCTTGTTGTGGGAAATCGAGAGACAGGCGGGAGCATACACAGTGGTAGATGTAGTGATATGTATGCAGAGATGTTTCTTCGTGTAAATATGCATAGATACACAAAAAGCTATATAAACATGTTCTGAACAACCCGAAGAATGTAGGTCGTGTGGGTTGCAGGAACACTCTATAACCAGAGCCTATGCTGTACCTACAGTCTCTGTCGTAGTTTTTTCCTGGCCAGCCCAGTCTTGTGGTTAGGAACCTAAAGTACGAGACAAGGTAGCCAACATGGATCTGCAGTCGAGACTAACGGTCTAGACCATTGACGGGGCTCTCATTCTGCAACCTTCAGTTAGGACAAGGTTTTCGCACAGACGTGCTTACTTAACGCACCAGCCCGGAACACAGCGTTGGACCTAGACCCATGCTACGTACGCAAAGCTTACTGCAAAAACGAATCCTAAAGCCTGAACCCTATACCTAATCCACGAGGTTCTTCTAGGCGGCTCGACTGCTGGTGGATTGGAATAGGGCACTTAAAAAGAAGCAAGCCCAAACACCACTGGCAAAGAAGCCCTCTACTTACAAAGTCCTAAGCTCCCAAGCAGGCCTGAACCCAAAGCCTAGAACAACCTACTCTGGAGGTCGGAAGACTCACTAATCATATTCGCGACGGTTCCTGATCATATAAGTATGCTCTTAGCTACCCCCAAACCACTGTGCGAATTTTTAAGGCCCTCATATATATATATATAGAGATTCATATTTATTTATTTACTTATTTATTTATTTACCCCTCAAGCAGGCTTGTCGCCCTGGGCATGGAGGAGCCACAGCCCTGTACTTCGGCTCCATTCGCGATGCCTTGGGATGGTGGGCTTAGCTTAGGGCTTACGGCTCTAGGGCTTAGGTTTTCGTGCCTAGGCCTTCGGACCTAATTAGGTTTTAGGGCTTAGGGCTCGGAGCTTTGTGTTTAGTTGTTGAGGGCAGTTTCAGCAGAAAGCAAACTCGAAGCCAAAACCTAGACAATGTGAAACCCTAAGCCCGATTCGAACCCCAAATGAGCTACCTGTTGAAGGACTTGTATAAGGAAGTCATAATAAGAAACCCAAAGAAAGCAGGTAGTTTTACAGGCTTTATGCCCAAAACTTTAGGTACACCCTAGGAACTGCAGGTCCGAACCACAAGCCGCAAGCTTTCTGCCCCGAAGGGCTTTGGGTTTGGGATGTAGGCTTTAGGATTTGGGGTTTAGGATTTAGGGTTTTGGATTTGGGGTATAGGATTTAGGGTCTAGGATTTAGGGTTTAGGACTTAGGGTTTAGGATTTTGTCATCCACAGCTTTTTCTGTGCGCTTTTTTTGCCTTAAGCGGGGGTGAGGGTTGCTTAGGCGCTGGCCGGCACCTCAGTCCGTGCTGAAAAAGGGTTTAGGATTTGGGGTCATGAGGGCATGTACACTGCAGCCCCTCCTCAAAAACGTTAAATCTAAGCCCTAAACCCTGAGACCGTAAGCCGTCTGACTAAGGCTGCATGTGTTGTGGCACTTCTTGGCCGGACTATCTGCCGCTCGGATTTTTGCTTGCTTGGTTCCCTAGTAGTGCCTTTGTGTCCTTTTGTGTAGGGCTCTCTGCTTCAAGCTGAACAGCAGGAACAAGGCGCCCGCATTATTGAAGGGTTCACGGGGAACCTCTCCAATTGAAGCTTTGCCTGGTGGTTCATGGCACCTGGTGTTTGGGGCTTTATTTTGGTGCAGTATGTATAGCCTGATTGTACCTGCGTCTGGCCAGCACCGAGGTTTTTCCCCTTTATAGTTCTTTTCGGTGCTGGCGGTTCGGGACCCTGACTCGAAAATTCAGAGCTGTCTAGATGCTATGGAACCCTAACGCTCAGCTCTGAATTAAACCATGCCACTGAACTCTTCCAGAACCTCGAAACCTTGAACTCCCTTGACACTGGCATCCACACCGGTGTGATCAAAGATCTACACAGCCCCCAAACCCCAGAGCCTCAAACTGTAAACCCCCACCCCGCGCCGAAAGCCAAAACCCTAGACCCCAGAGTCCTAGAGCTTTACACCCCAACCCGGTGCAAACCCTAACCGCTAGAGGTTTAAACTTCACTATAAGGCCTTAATCTCTACAAACCCCCGAAGCCCTTCAAACCCTAAAGCCTTAGCTCCCTAAATGCCGTGTCCCCCCAAACCCTATGAACGCCCTAAGCCCTAAACCCTATAGGCCTCGAAACCCTAAAGCCTTTAAATCCTACAAGCCCTCAAACCCTGAACC